GGACATTAAATAATTTTTTACCGCCAAAGTTTCGTTTGTCCCTCAATGTCGAGGGGTGGGTTGAGTAGTACTATTAACCCTCTATCTACCATAAAAATTTCAAATCGAAAATCCGGTCCTGGACTGAGATAGTACCTAGCTCCTTGGACATTAAATAATTTTTTACCGCCAAAGTTTCGTTTGTCCCTCAATGTCGAGGGGTGGGTTGAGTAGTACTAGTAACCCTCTATCTACCATAAAAATTTCAAATCGAAAATCCGGTCCTGGACGGAGATAGTACCTAGCTCCTTGGACATTAAATAATTTTTTACCGCCAAAGTTTCGTTTGTCCCTCAATGTCGAGGGGTGGGTTGAGTAGTATTATTAACCCTCTATCTACCATAAAAATTTCAAATCGAAAATCCGGTCCTGGACCGAGATAGTACCTAGCTCCTTGGACATTAAATAATTTTTTACCGCCAAAGTTTCGTTTGTCCCTCAATGTCGAGGGGTGGGTTGAGTAGTACTAGTAACCCTCTATCTACCATAAAAATTTCAAATCGAAAATCCGGTCCTGGACCGAGATAGTACCTAGCTCCTTGGACATTAAATAATTTTTTACCGCCAAAGTTTCGTTTGTCCCTCAATGTCGAGGGGTGGGTTGAGTAGTACTAGTAACCCTCTATCTACCATAAAAATTTCAAATCGAAAATCCGGTCCTGGACTGAGATAGTACCTAGCTCCTTGGACATTAAATAATTTTTTACCGCCAAAGTTTCGTTTGTCCCTCAATGTCGAGGGGTGGGTTGAGTAGTACTATTAACCCTCTATCTACCATAAAAATTTCAAATCGAAAATCCGGTCCTGGACCGAGATAGTACCTAGCTCCTTGGACATTAAATAATTTTTTACCGCCAAAGTTTCGTTTGTCCCTCAATGTCGAGGGGTGGGTTGAGTAGTACTATTAACCCTCTATCTACCATAAAAATTTCAAATCAAAAATCCGGTCCTGGACTGAGATAGTACCTAGCTCCTTGGACATTAAATAATTTTTTACCGCCAAAGTTTCGTTTGTCCCTCAATGTCGAGGGGTGGATTGAGTAGTACTATTAACCCTCTATCTACCATAAAAATTTCAAATCAAAAATCCGGTCCTGGACCGAGATAGTACCTAGCTCCTTGGACATTAAATAATTTTTTACCGCCAAAGTTTCGTTTGTCCCTCAATGTCGAGGGGTGGGTTGAGTAGTACTAGTAACCCTCTATCTACCATAAAAATTTCAAATCGAAAATCCGGTCCTGGACTGAGATAGTACCTAGCTCCTTGGACATTAAATAATTTTTTACCGCCAAAGTTTCGTTTGTCCCTCAATGTCGAGGGGTGGGTTGAGTAGTACTATTAACCCTCTATCTACCATAAAAATTTCAAATCGAAAATCCGGTCCTGGACCGAGATAGTACCTAGCTCCTTGGACATTAAATAATTTTTTACCGCCAAAGTTTCGTTTGTCCCTCAATGTCGAGGGGTGGGTTGAGTAGTACTATTAACCCTCTATCTACCATAAAAATTTCAAATCGAAAATCCGGTCCTGGACTGAGATAGTACCTAGCTCCTTGGACATTAAATAATTTTTTACCGCCAAAGTTTCGTTTGTCCCTCAATGTCGAGGGGTGGGTTGAGTAGTACTAGTAACCCTCTATCTACCATAAAAATTTCAAATCGAAAATCCGGTCCTGGACTGAGATAGTACCTAGCTCCTTGGACATTAAATAATTTTTTACCGCCAAAGTTTCGTTTGTCCCTCAATGTCGAGGGGTGGGTTGAGTAGTATTATTAACCCTCTATCTACCATAAAAATTTCAAATCGAAAATCCGGTCCTGGACCGAGATAGTACCTAGCTCCTTGGACATTAAATAATTTTTTACCGCCAAAGTTTCGTTTGTCCCTCAATGTCGAGGGGTGGGTTGAGTAGTACTAGTAACCCTCTATCTACCATAAAAATTTCAAATCGAAAATCCGGTCCTGGACTGAGATAGTACCTAGCTCCTTGGACATTAAATATTTTTTTACCGCCAAAGTTTCGTTTGTCCCTCAATGTCGAGGGGTGGGTTGAGTAGTATTATTAACCCTCTATCTACCATAAAAATTTCAAATCGAAAATCCGGTCCTGGACCGAGATAGTACCTAGCTCCTTGGACATTAAATAATTTTTTACCGCCAAAGTTTCGTTTGTCCCTCAATGTCGAGGGGTGGGTTGAGTAGTACTAGTAACCCTCTATCTACCATAAAAATTTCAAATCGAAAATCCGGTCCTGGACTGAGATAGTACCTAGCTCCTTGGACATTAAATAATTTTTTACCGCCAAAGTTTCGTTTGTCCCTCAATGTCGAGGGGTGGGTTGAGTAGTACTATTAACCCTCTATCTACCATAAAAATTTCAAATCGAAAATCCGGTCCTGGACTGAGATAGTACCTAGCTCCTTGGACATTAAATAATTTTTTACCGCCAAAGTTTCGTTTGTTCCTCAATGTCGAGGGGTGGGTTGAGTAGTACTAGTAACCCTCTATCTACCATAAAAATTTCAAATCGAAAATCCGGTCCTGGACTGAGATAGTACCTAGCTCCTTGGACATTAAATAATTTTTTACCGCCAAAGTTTCGTTTGTCCCTCAATGTCGAGGGGTGGGTTGAGTGTTACTATTAACCCTCTATCTACCATAAAAATTTCAAATCAAAAATCCGGTCCTGGACTGAGATAGTACCTAGCTCCTTGGACATTAAATAATTTTTTACCGCCAAAGTTTCGTTTGTCCCTCAATGTCGAGGGGTGGGTTGAGTAGTACTAGTAACCCTCTATCTACCATAAAAATTTCAAATCGAAAATCCGGTCCTGGACTGAGATAGTACCTAGCTCCTTGGACATTAAATAATTTTTTACCGCCAAAGTTTCGTTTGTCCCTCAATGTCGAGGGGTGGGTTGAGTGTTACTATTAACCCTCTATCTACCATAAAAATTTCAAATCAAAAATCCGGTCCTGGACTGAGATAGTACCTAGCTCCTTGGACATTAAATAATTTTTTACCGCCAAAGTTTCGTTTGTCCCTCAATGTCGAGGGGTGGGTTGAGTAGTACTATTAACCCTCTATCTACCATAAAAATTTCAAATCAAAAATCCGGTCCTGGACTGAGATAGTACCTAGCTCCTTGGACATTAAATAATTTTTTACCGCCAAAGTTTCGTTTGTCCCTCAATGTCGAGGGGTGGGTTGAGTAGTACTATTAACCCTCTATCTACCATAAAAAATTCAAATCGAAAATCCGGTCCTGGACCGAAATAGTACATTTCTACATTACGCACAACCCTGCCTTTCTTGATTTAAATGGTGATTCTAACCTAATTCAATATTATTTTGATTGTGTCATTTGCTTTTGTTTGAAAACGAAATTTAGTTATATTCTGTTTTAAATTATTTGAAAAATATATTCAGTTTTATTTTTAAAAAGCAATAAAAGTTGCGGTTCGCAAGGAGCTGGCTTCACACTTTCGACTACGTTCGCGGATTCATATTTGAGGCAAGGAGCTGGCTCCAAGGAGCTAGCGTCACACACATGGTAGTTTCTATTATCTACAGCATAGAAAGTACCTGCTAGGTAACAACTAGACGTTTACCAGTCAGTCCATAATGTGGCCCTTAGGATTAGTAATATGAATATGATTCAGGTGCAAATTTTGCACTGTTGTGAACTTGTGAACATTAGTTGAAAGCTTTAAAGTTTAAGGATTCTGTTGTATTTGTCTCTCACTTTTTGTTTGGTCTCAATGATCACTGGTTTATGCATGGTCTGTGAGTAAACTAAACCCATAGACTGAACTTATGGACTGAACCGATTTGAATAGTCGTTCCTCCCGGCTGCCGATCTACTTTTTTCTTTACTAACCTCAAAATTTGTTTATATTTGTGAAAAAACTAATAAAACTGGAAACTAAAATGAACGAAAATTATTGTTTTACGTGAGAAATTTCAAATTTATGATGATCGCCTATACCAAAATTTACTATCAACAAAATTGAACAAATAACAATCATCAACAATCAACTGAAAAAAACCGAATCAACAAATCAAAAATATCCGATCCGACAATATCCGGTGTTGCCGATGAAACCATCAGTCATCGGGTTCAAAAAGTTATAGATCTGTTCGCACAGTAATCACAAACCAGTCAGAGTGAATTTCATTGGTTGAAACTAGTTTTCTAGAAATTCGCTCTGACTGGTTTGTGATTTCTGTGCGAACAGCCTTTGTTATCACTGTTATCAGATTTGGCCGGTTTCCGGTTTCTGGTCACACCAGATTTTATCGGCTATTGTTTAAAAAAAAATAATAATAAAGTCAGTTTTTTTTAAGATAAAAGTCAAAATGACATTATGTTGGCAATACAATGTAAAACTGTCAAGATTTCAAATTTTTTATGTAGAAAAGGCTTGTGTTGCCAACATAGTTACTAAATTTTTGACTTGGGGAATTATCTTTAAAAAAAAACACACTTTAGGTCTGTTTCTGCAAAAATCACAAACCAATCAGAGTGAATTTCGGTTGAAACTAGTTTTCTGACTGCTTTCAACCAATGAAATTCGCTCTGACTGGTTTGTGATTTCTGCAGAAACAGATATCTAATATTAGGTCTGTTTGCGCAGAAATCAGAAACCAGTCAGAGTCAATTTCATTGGTTGAAACTAGTTTTCTGACTGTTTCTGATTGTTTTTACCCAATGAAACCTAATATTATTACTAGGTCTGTTTCTGCAGAAATCACAAACCAATCAGAGCAAATTTTATTGGCTGAAAACAGTCAGTTTCAACCAACCAATAAAATCCACTCTAACTGGTTTGTGATTTCTGCAGAAACAGACCTATTAATGATTTCCACCCGAATCTGATTAAAATAAAAAAATAAAAATAAAACTGAAATGCCTCCAAATACTATCAAATATACCCCCATACCAAAGTTTACGTACCTTTATATTTATCGATGAAGAGAATTAACGTTTTATTGTTTGGACTATTTGATGATTGGTCTAGGCTAAGCAACGCGCGCTCAATCATTGAATGCTCCTGCTCTGCTCCGCGCGGATTCTACTTGGTTTATTTTGTGGTCAGGGACGATACGCCCATTTCCGGGAAAGTCCCGAGTCTTCAGTCTGGCGACACTGATAGCGTATTTCATTCAGTGTTGCCACCCCTATTACAATCGTAATAAAATCTGTTTTTTTTTTTTAAAGATAAAAGTCAAACTGACATTATGTTGGCAATACAATGAAAAATTGTCAATGCTTTCAAAATTTTTGTGTAGAAAAGGCTTGTGTTGCCAACATAGTTACTAAATTTTTGACTTGGGGAATTATCTTTAAAAAAAAAAACAGACTTTAGATCTATTACAATCAAGTAATTTCTATTACGCTATTACCAAAGGAAAAAATCTATTACTTTTTCGGGAAAATTATGTTTTGGTGAATAAGCAATTGAAAAATTTTACAGGCATCATAAATTATCACATCAAACCACACCACGCAGAACACTTTAAAAAAACATTTTTTGTCAATGTTGTGTCCTTAGCCGCTTTCCAGTATGCACATTGGCGTGCTCTCTCTGGCGCGCTCTAGAGCACCTCAGGCCACGCACTAAATTTGTACCGTTCCAGTATCATGGCGTGAGACGCCTGTCTTAGTGTCAAATATGTCAAATTTTAAAAATAATTATCTGTTTATTTGTGCAGTTTGTTTTTTCATTTATCAAAAATGAAAGAGAATCAAAACTATATTTTTTAAAATGTTCAATCTTGAGATATAACAAGAAATAAATAAATAAATAAATAGCCACCCACAGATGTGACAGCTCACAGGTTGACGCGTACGTACAGCTCGGGAGCTCAACGCCCCGAGTAGCTCCGGGCGTCACACTCCCATACTGGAAAGCGGCTCTTTGTGCGTGAAAACTGAAAACCGCTGAATTAAAATGCTTCACTTTCAGTTTCATAATAGGTTTGTTCGGACTTAGTTCAGAATCAGTTCTGAATTGAGCTGCGCATGCGCATTCGTTCATTTATGTTCGGTATGAACAAATGCGTGAGCGCAGTTCAATTCAGAACTGATTCTGAACTATAATTCGCCTTACGAGTCTAGCACTACGATGTCTGAAGGGCAAGGGGGAATAACGCCATCCATTTCGAGCTTTATGCTGCCTGTTATAGGCGTGCGCGCAGCGTTTTTAAATATTATTTTTTCCTGATAAATGTAGGTGTGTAACATAGATAAATATTAAGGTATTTTCTATTGGAAGTCAAATAGGCAATGTTGCAATTTTTTTATCTGCATTCTTTCCATAGTGATAGACTCGTAAGGCGAACAATAAGTGATTCTATAACTAAAGAATAAATAATCCTATACCTATATCTAATTTATGGCAACAAAAACTAACGCAAATGAGTAAATTGAGCAGGCATTCCAACGACCTGTCAAAAAGTGCGTTGTGGCAGAAGTTCATTATCCCGTATAAAGCCTAGTACTCATAACTGCGGAATTCGGATTTTTTTGACATTGCTTCGACAATTTGACGTTTGATACACGCATAAAACGTCAAATTTTCAACGCAATGTCAAAAAAATGCGAATTTCGCAGTTATGAGTACTAGGCCTATGAGAGTATGTAATTTAAAGCTTTTTAATATGCATGTTGTGGCTGTTTTGTGAATGAACTCTGTTTATTTTTTTATTTTATTGACTTCATTAGTGTTTCTCCCAATTAAAAATGCCACAAACGGGTCTTGAAGTTGATTGTGGAAGTAGTTTCAACAAGGTAACAAAGTATGATGTCAGGCTTTTTTCATTGCCCTTTGTTTTAAAATTTTCCAATTAGAAGGTGAAAATTTTTCACTACCACTGTTCCTGCATCTGAAATAAAGCCATTTTCGAAATATTCGTAAGAATCTAAGCTTTTGTAGGCCTTCATTTGCTCATTAATGTGAACTGTGGATCAAAATGTCATCTGGACATTTTTTTAAACTAACCGTTCGCCCAAATCTCGATTTTCCTGCATTCAAGTCTTTAAATATTCACTCTGCATCTCAAAATAGCTATTTATACAATAAGTTACGAAATGAGCGTCTTTTAGGCACGCGACGTGAAAATTGTCCAACGAGGCAAAGCCGAGTTGGATAACACAAAGTTCTGTTTTGAGTAACCCAAACGTTCAATTCAGTAATTCAATTTTCAATATTCATAATAAATACAAAACAAAATTCAAATATGTGTTTAGTGTGTTTTTTATTTCTGAATAATGAATGACACTTTTAGGCACTAGTGCTTAAAAATTACTTTTACGCACTCATAAGTCACTTTTACGCATTCAAAAGTCACTTTTACGCACTGAGTGCCTAAAAGTAACTTTTACGCATTCAGTGCCTAAAAGAATGTCGTTTCAAAACTGAAATGACAATCGAAAAGTTGCTATTATGAAACGTCAGTAGAAAAAGTATATTATTACAAAGTAAACTGTAATTAGCTTGAAAATATTCCAAATAAACTCAAGATAAACAAACAAACGTCAAATTTTCCACGCTCGACATATTGAAAAATCACGTGGTTTGGAGAGCCTAATTAGGCTCTCCAAACCAGCTACCCCTGGACCCACTGTCTGTCTCATTTGAAAAATTTGGGGTAGTGTAACCCTGGTGGTTAGGGGGTTGAAGAGGCGGAAGTCAAGTTTAAGGTAAAAAACGTTCCCCCCTAATATATTCAAGATGCCAAAAATAAGGCAATTTTAACAATGTTTATTCAACTTTCAAACCCTCTCAGTTAATTAACATATTAAAAAAAACTATTTATACAACTCACTTCCCTAACAAACGTTCTATCACGTCTACAGACGCTTTTAAAATTGAGTCCCCATAAGACATCAATGTATTAATTTTTGAACTAGGAACCCGCGCCAATTTGCGATTCTAACCTAACTAATATGATCAATTCATGACGAGACGAATGCAGAATGATGTTGATGCTACTAGGTTCGTTGTTTCACCCTGTATACCATTCGTATATTATTCCTTAGCCGAATTAGCACCATAGTCACATATCAGTCAACAGACGAGGTGGCCGAGTGGTTAAGGCGTTGGACTGCTAATCCAATGGGCTCTGCCCGCGTGGGTTCGAATCCCATCCTCGTCGAATTTTTTTTTTTTAAATTCTAATGTGTAATTAAATCAATTTTGAATCTAAAGCGGAATTTTATCATTAATGTGGTGCATTTGTAATCTAATTGTAAACCTAATAAGTTTGTATATTTATTGTTTGAGGGGAGCTTATCCCCCCTGCCTGTGAATGTTAAACGATGAAATTTTTAATAAAGATGTTTGAGTTGAGTTGAGTAATAAGTTTGTAATTGTATAAGCTTAAAGCTACTTATCATGCATCCATGGCCGGATTAAGCTTTCATGGGGCCCGGGGCTAGTGAAGTTTTAGGGGGCCCTTCATAAATTAAGTGCAAAAAAATATACAGGGTGTCCCACGACGTTTTTCCCAGGTAATCTTCGGAACGCATCATCCAATATAATTGAAATTCTGAAGATGTGGGTAACTTTTTATGCCGCTTCTTCGCTTCTACCACCGTCATCCAATTTCACCATTTCGCTTCAATTTCGGTCAAGTGACGTCAACTTTCGAATCTTAAATGTAGCTCATGGTATATTATGGCATTTTACGTTAGAAAATTAAATTACAAAATCGTCAATGTTATGTTTGTTAAGGCTTTGTTGCAGAAAATGATAAAAAATTATACAGTGGAACATACGATGATGCGTTCCGAAATTATCATTTGGGAAAAACCGCGTGGGACACCCTGTATATAGAAAAAGACTATATTCCTGATATAACGCTATGCCTATAATTATTTATTCACAATCCGTTGTCCAAAGGTAAAGGTAAAGTTTATCACCTTTCAGTGCTATTTGATAGGGAAAGGTGATAAATTTACCTTTATCTTTGGACTACGGATTGTGAATAGGATATACCTACATGTTTTACAAAATTATGTCAAAATATCTTTTTTCTACTACCGCTATTCAGAAGACGTAAAATTTCTCTTCACGCACTAGTGCGTAAAATAGTTCACTTCACACACTAGTGCGTAAAGTAATGTCAATGACGGATGTCAACCTGTCAAATTACTATTTTTCTGGTAAATTACTTCACGCACGTGTAAAGAATTTGTCTAAATTAATTTTTTCACACATATTTGATTGGTAGTAGAAAACATTTTGTGTGCAATACGTGCGTAAAGCACCTTTTTTCACTGATGTGATTGTCGCACTCGCCTTTGACTCGTGCGTCAAAATTCACATTCGTGAAAAAGGGTTCACTCTACACACTTGTTGCATAAATAACTATTTTTCGTAGGTAACTTAAATTTACCTAACAAATTCTTGTATGACATCAGTAAATTCTATTCCTTCAGAATATCTCTGTAGTCTTTTTATGCACATAAATGTTAATGAAGACAGGCGTTCCTTCTGCATTGTTGTTCTATATTTATTTTTAATTTAATAAATTTTGCGAAACATGACGCGAAAGACTAATGCATCTAATATTTATTGTTTGTCCACGGGCCCTTGACCAGCAGAAGCCTCAATTTCGAAAGTAGGGCCCCTCCGGGGCCCTACTGGACTGCGGGGCCCGGGGCTGCAGCCCCGATAGCCCCCCCCTTAATCCTGGCATGCATGCATCCGTTTTTCCGTCAATCCGATGATTCTAATGATCCGGAAGTATTCCTATTAGCCGAGTAAATCTGTGGCCGAAAGTCGCTTAGTTTTCGAGAAAAAAAAAATTGGCGTAGAACCAAATCAAACGTGGTAGGTTTTGTTAAGCATGTCACTGGGCATACGAAATCTAAAGTGCAGACATTTTCCCGTGGTCTCGGACTTTTTTATGACAAAAAATGTAAAAAAAATATATTTTTAATAAAATATGTTTTTTTTTGTTTCCACCGTCATATCTCCAAAACCAATCAAGTTATCGAAGTAATTTTTTTTTTAAATTAAAGTACCTACACACTCAAGCGCTTTCAATAGTGCCTTCATTCCTCACGAAGTTTTCCCCTTTATTTTTTTCAAAATCGGAAAGTCCAGGAATTACAATTTCAGGTCTTACAATTTTCACCAATCGACAAACTTTTTTATTTTTGAAAATTTTTATATACATACAGCGAAGCAAATGATGCCAAAACATGACAAAAGTCTTTGAAATAATTAGTTTTTACCTAATATATATCGTTTGGCCACAGCGAATTTTCAATTGCGCGCCAAAATAATGTATCGCATACTCTCGCGCCATGGCTAGACAACATGACTACTATCCATAGTACTGTGCTATTGGCGGGATTAAGAAATTAAAAAATA